TTTTTTTTTTTTAATTTTTATTACATAAAAATTTCATTTGATTTTATTTTAATTTTATTTATCTAGTTATTTGCACAAAGTAAAAAAAAAAAAAATGATTATACAAAATTTATTAAAATTTTGTACTGACTTGAAGATAGTCATTAGCAATATTGGTTGGAGATTTCTTTGATTTTAATACATATTGTTGAGAATTCTCTTCAAATCTTATTATAAAAATTGGACCATCCTGTTTATACTCTATTTCACATTCCACCATATGGTATGACTTGTTTCTTCCCCAACTGGTCTGAACTAGATAATTATTTAGAACTCTATATTTAGATCCATTACGAGAACTTGCTACGGTACAACATATTTTATCTTTAGGTGGATAAAATCCTTCATTAATAACGTGATACTTATATTTAGTATTATTTTGTTTAAGTGAAAAAGGATTATTTTCAGGGTATTTGCTTTGGTTGAAAGACATTATCGTATCTGGAAAGATGAGATTTGCAGAAAAACAACACGTCTGATTTTTTATTTATTAAATACAAGTTATATAATTTTTTAATTCAACTGGTTATCAACCTGCGTTAATAATAACAGACAATAATGATAACGTACGTACGTATATACGTATTATAAACAGAATACCTTCTCAAAAATTTAATTACATCTTTTTTAAACCTGATAATTCTCTTAAAAGCGATTTAAAACTGTTCATAATACTAAAAAGATCAACAGTATATAAGTAGTAATCTCTTGAAGAGAAATATTTGAATCCTGTACTTAATTTTCAATTAACTAATCAGAATTAATTATGTAAACAAAACATCCAACCTCCCATTTTTAGTAAAATTATGATAACTTTAAATACCCATATGCTTACCTGATTTATGATGTGAGTAGTACTTGGGTTCTCTAATTTCCTTCACCACTTCTGGTTGGCTGTACTAATTTTTATGATCAAGTGTAACGTAAAAAATGCAAAAAAAAATGCAAAAATTAAAAATTGCTCATAACTCTAAATTCAATATATGAAACTGTCTTCTACACACTAATAAAAAATTTTCCTTGTAAAATTTTGGTATAAGAAACATTTTATAATTATAATATAATGCCAAAATATTAATTCTAGTCTAACAGCGCGAATTTTTACTTGAAAAATTTTATTATAATAATTGAATAATTAGTACAGCCAATCAGAAGTAGTGGGAGAAATTAGTAAATCCGGTAGTACTACCTTAACTTTGTTATATGCAGAACTATCTTTATTTGGGCAACAAAGAAAAGGTATTGCGTGATTTCAATTTTAAAGTCGTTTTCGATAAAGAACGGGCTACCGGTATATTGATTAATCGTTTGTGGAGGGATTTTTATTCACTTTACAAACTTATGAAAAA